CCAAATCCTGACTTGTTTCAGAAAAGAAATTCTGCAAGAAATTGAGAGAAGACTTAATGCCACTACTTCTCAAACTCTTCAATGAAACTGAAAAGGAAGCAATACTCCCAAAGTCATTCTTGGAAGCAAGCATTATCCTGGTATCAAAACTGGAGAAGGATACAACACCTAAAGAAAATTATAAGCCAGTCTCCCTAAGGAACATAAATGAAAAATATCCTCAGTAAGATATGGGTGAACAGAAAGCAGCAAGTCATCAAGAGGATTATACACCGTGACCAAGTGGAATTCATCCCAGGGATGTGGGGGTGGTTCTACATACATAAATCCATAAATGTAATTAATACACCATATTAACAGAGCCAAGGAGAAAAATCGTAAGATTATCTCAATAGATGCAGAAACAGCTTCTAACAAAGTCCAGTACCTAGTCAGGATAAAAACCCCATAGATGGACCAGGGATTTAGCTTAGTGGCATAAGCGCCTGCCTGGCAAGCATGAGGCTATGAGTTCGATCCCTGGTACCAAAAAAAAAAAAAATTTAAAACCCTATAGAAAATTAGAATGCATGTGGTCTTTATCTCAATCTGACAAAAGCCAGCAGTGACAAACCAACAGACAACATCACACTAAATGAACAAAAGCTGAAAACTCTCAGAAATCAAGAAAAAGGCAAGGATGCCCATTTGTCTCCATTCTTAATACAGTCCTGGAAACTTCAGCTGGAGCAGTTAGACAAGAGGAACAAACACAGGAAAGGGAGAAGTTAAACTATAATTATTTTGTAGGTGACATGGTACTCTACCCCAAAGACTCCACTTTTTTGTAGGTGACATGAGACTATACATAGAAGACACCAAAGACTCCACTAAAGAACTGCTAGATTTAATTAACAAATTCAGTAGCGTGGCTAGATACAAAGTCAACACTCAAAAATCAAGTCTTCCAGTACGTGAATAACAAATTCACTGAGGGAGAAATCAGGGAAACAATACCTTTCACAACAGTATCCAAATAAATGAAATACCTAGGAATCAAACTAACAAAGGAGGTAAAAGATCTCTACATTGCAAACTACAGTATTCTGAAAAAGGAGATTGAAGAGTGTATCAGAAAATGCAAAGATATCTCATGCTCTTGGGTCAGAAAAACCAATATAATGAAAATGGCCATAATTCTAAAGCTATTGTACAGATTTCATGCAATTCTGACTTAGGAAAAAAAATCCTAAAATTCATTCGGAACCAGAAGAGGCAAGAACAGCAAAGGAAATTCTGGGCAACAAGGGAAAAGTAGGGAGTATCACAATCCCAGACCTAAAATTATACAACCAAGCTGAGATAAAAACAGTGTGATACTGGCCAAAATACAGATCCAAGGATCAATGGAGATTAGAAAATGCGGAACAACTGCAGACATACTTAGCCAACTTATCACTGAAAAAGGTACCAGACACATTCCCCGGAAGAAAGACAGCGTCTTTATAATAAACTGTGCAGGTCTCAGCCATTTCCCTTCTGTGTTTTCCCACAAAAATTGAAAACATCATGCCCACAGCAGTATTTGTGCACCCATGTTTATAGCTGAAAATTTGTCATAGCTGATTGCTGGAAACAATCCAAATGGCCATCAACCACTGAGTAGATAAAAAAAGATGTGGTATTTTTACACAATAGAGTACTACTCGGCTATAAAGAAAGATAAACAAGACTTTTATAGGGAAATGGATGTAACTTGAGACCATACTCATCACTGAAATAAATCAGACTCACATGTGTAAACGCTGTATTGTCTTAGTGTAAAAAACTGAAAAGGATAAGTAAGACCCAAAATGTACAACAAATTTTGTGAAAAGGGTAAAAAACTGTTCAAAAGAGCGACTGAGATGGGGGAAAGGAGAAAAGAAAGGAAAAGATTACACTTACACACACACACACACACACACACCAGAATCATATTAATCCGTTAGTTCATCAAAAGAACTGTTTGCGCTTTCACTGTTCACTCATTTCTTTTATGCTTATATCTTGTAATCTGAGCAATTACTTTGAAGATAACAGTACGCAATATATTAACCATTGTTCATCTCCTATTATGTTGATTTGAAATTCTGTATCACTGTTTTTAATCTTTTCTTGTTTTCTTTTAAAATTAAAAAAAAATTGTGCTGAAAAGACTTCCTACATGCTGAAGATTAAAATTACACCCATATCTTTCACCATGCACTAAATGAAAATTAAAATGGATGAGAGATCTTAATATTGAAACAGAAACATTAAGTCTGCTGAAAAGACAGAAGAAGTAAAACTCTTGAAGACTTTGTTGAAGGCAAAGACTTTACGAGCAAAACCCAATACCACAGGAAATATAATGAATCAACAACTAGGATTTCACCCTATTAAAAGCCTTTGCAAAGCAAAAGAAACCACCAACAGAATAAAGAGATAATCCATAGTTTGAGAAACTTTTGGCAGCTGTTCCCCAGACAAAGGATTACTACCAAAAATATATAAATAACTCAAAAAAATAATCACCAAGTTTAAAGACTCAACCCAAAAATGAACATTAGAGATGGATACACACTTCTCAGATGGAGTAGAAATAGCAAATAAATATGAGAAAATGTTCAACATCACTGGTCATGCAAGAGATGCAAATTTAAACAACAGAGATTCCATCTCACCCCAGAAAGAATGCCTATTATCAAGAAATCAACCAATAACAAATGCTGGCAGGGTCACGGAAACCTTTTTCTACTTTAGTGGGAATGTAGACAAGCGCAGCCACTGTGGAATTCAGAATGGAGATTTCTCTAAAAACTAGGACTAGAGGTCCTATTTGACCCAGCTATTCCTCTTCTTAGTATCTTCCAAAAAAAATTAAAATTATCATACCATAGTACACACACCTATGTTTATAGCTGTACTGTCAGCAAAAGTTAAATCTTGGATGGCTGGGGATTTAGCTCAGCGGCATAAGCACCTGCCTAGCAAGCAGGCGGTCGTGAGTTCGATCCCCAGTACCGGGAAAAAAAAAAGTTAAATCTTGGAAATGGCTCAAATGCCCAACAACTGATGAAAGGATAAAGATTCGTTTGTTTTTTTTTTTCCCCCAATGGAGTGGTACTCTGCTTTAATGAGGGATAAACTCAAGACAGTTTTTAAATAAACAGATGTACCCCAAGATCACACGCCTAAGTGAAATACATTGGACATGCATATAAATATCACATTCTTTCTCAGGTGTGAGAAAATGAAAGTGAAACAAGGACCGAAATGTATAATAAGTACTGTGAAACAGTAAGTGAATGCTGAAATGGGGAGAGGATTAAGGGTTGGGGAGGGAGAAAGGAAAGGAGAAAGTTGTTTTGTTTTCTTTTTTTGTCTTTTTCTTTTTTAGAATCTCAAGTCACTAGGAAATGGGTTAAATAATTTCTAATTTAGGATTTTCAAAATGTACAGTCATTTGGAAAGTTAAAATTTGAATAACTTAATTATATACCAGAATAAGCCACATATGGATTAAATATTTAAATATTAAAATGAAGACTTAGAAATATTACATGAAAATGTGAAAAGCATTCCTTTAAAATCTAGAAGAACCGGGCGTGGTGGTACATGCCTGTAATTCTAGCACTCAGGAGGTTGAGACCAAAAGATCTTTGCAAATTCAAGACAAGCCTCGGCTACAAAGTGAACTCAAGGCCAGTCTGAACTGCACAGTGAGACCCTGTTTCAAAAGGCCAAAAAAAAATTTAAATAAAACCAGCCTGGGGATTTAGCTCAGCAGCATATGTGCCTGCCTGGCAAGCATAAGGTCATGAGTTCGATCCCAAGTACCTAAATAAATAAATAAATAAATCATAGAGAACAGGAAAGTATATAAGAAAAAAAATCCAGAAGCAATAAAATCATCAAGTTTGACTATTAAATTTCAAAACTTCACATGCCTGAAAATAGAAAAGCACAACTGCCAAAACAGTTTCAAGAACAGTTACATACAATAACAAGGATCAGTCCCATTATGTATTAACACTATTTAGATAAAATTTATAAACAATTCAAACTATGATGTCAGAAGTCCAAGAATTCTTATTTCTGATAGGACAAAAGGGGATAACAGGGAAAGAGAATAAATGAGCTGATAGAAAACAGTTAATGTTACAGTTTCTTGACCTGGGATTTTAAAATAAAACATAGAAAGCACAGATTTGATCTTTCTACAAGATGAAAATTTTCCCAACTTTACAAATGGTAATTGGAGGCAAAACAGTAAGTAATTTTCAAAGTACACAGGTAACAACTTAGTGAAGCCATAATTTTAATCTACATCAATTAAACCCAAAGTTAGCACTCATAATAAAACTTATAAGTGTCAAAAGATCAGATATGCAATATCAAACAGTAAGATAGGACGTAGGAATTATAGTTTAGTCTATTCCATGTTATATAACCTTTTAAAAGCACGAGTATTTGAAGTATGTCACCCCAGCATAAATGCTATAAATGCAGAAAGTATATCCATTTTTCATTTCACTGTATTATTCCCAGCAATTAAATCTGGGAGGTTGAGGGAGTAGGACTATAAGCCAGGATGGGCAACTTTATGACTCAGCAAGACTTCCTTTCAATATAAATAAAAAACTGATGAGGAATATAGCTCAGTGCAGACCCCTGGGTTCATTCTCCAGTATTAAAAAAAAGCCTTAAAATTGAAATAGAAATGATACAGTATTTGTAACCCCTCTTCAAAAACAGAAGGGAATTCAGAAGTGAAATCACACTAATAAAATTTTACTGTTATATTTAAAATACTAAGTTTACTTCTAATAGTCTGTAGCTAAATATATCTGAAGTAATCTTCATGACATGAAGGCAACAATGGAATTAAATGAGATTTCAAGAGAAATCTGATTAATACATGCTGTTAGTATAAAACTATTACAGCACTTTCAAACACACTCAAAAGAATGTAAAATTTTTATCAGTACACAAATTACCTGTTTGTATTCACTGACACAACTTTGACAGCAAAATCTTTTTTGCTGACCATCAATCACCAGAACGTTATTTCCAGCACCTTTGCTAGGCAAATACTCTCCACACTGTTCACAGCAATTCATTATTAGACCATTGGCCATTCTATATCTATTAAAGCAGTGGTCACTGCACAGCTTATGAGTCATATTTTTAAAGCTAACTTCATGGCGAATCTAAAAGAAAAACAATAGACAGAATTTTAAAAAACAGACCTGTCTTCATGTAGCTAAGTAACAGTTACCCATCAGAAACATGGCTTATTTGGAGAAAAAGAAAAACACATGTACTTCAGTAATTCTTTCAGAGAAGAATTAAGCTTTCACACAAGGCAGAACACCCATAAATGACACTATAAGCTTCTCTAAATACTCAAAAATGATAGGAAACAACCACATTTAGATATTGTTGGCATTAAACTTTATAAACAAACATATTAAAAATCTTCACATAACTCCCAAAGGAATTACAAATTATACTGTAGTACAAAAACAGCCAATATTATAAATCAAATGAGATATACAGGCACAGGTATCTTTTGACTGTTTTTATATAATTAATGGTTCGAACTTAAAATTTTCCCTCTACTTCTACTTCTCAGCAAGAGTACTGTCTTTTTTATATAGTCTAATTGCCCTTTGTTAAATAAACATACTATTAGATTTTTAAAAATCAACTACAATGCAATGATACTGTCTGTGACTACTCTCAATCTCAGGGGAAAAAAAAGGCAACTGATAATTTTTCTTTAACCAGTTGTCTATGGGAAAATGAGAGTTCATGATGACTATTTATAAGACAAGTTTTCATCTGATGTATCTTCACTTTAAAGTATCATCACATACATTGAAAGAAAGTGTATTATAGGTATTGGACGTTTACAGCAGTCCTAGTCAGAGCTAATTGATAATAGAATAAAAATACAAACCTCTGTTAGTTTACCACAAATTGTACATCTTGATTTATTTAGAGCTCCTTTACTAGGATTTTGTTTGTCTTCATACAGAGACAAACAAGATGTACTACAGAATTCCTGGAAAGACTCACTTGAATCCACTTGAGCAACAATGGTTCCTTTCATTGTAGTTATATCTCTGTAAAATAAGAGATACAACTGACAGTAAAATTCCATTTTAAAAGTAATCAAAATAAATAAGAGCATTAGCTGACACTTTTCATCTTATAGATGGAGTCAAAGAAATTAAATATCATTTTTAGATCTGGGAAATCAATTTTACTATCTAGAAACTTGACAATAAAGATTAAGAAGTGAAATTATTTTAAACTGTTAAATCCTTACAACTACCCAATTTATCTTCAATTTCAGTAACAAAGTTTTCAGACATTGGAAATGCTAAAACACAGTGGTTATTAATTACAAGGAGTTAATGTCATGAACTAATTAGATACTTATATTTATAGTACCTATTCAATTCCTTTCCTCAGGCCAGTGAAAAACATGAACATCTAGCACACATCTAGGACACACAAACATACCATATATGCAAAAGGGTGTAACTGAAATCTTTTCTGCTTCAATGCCCATCTCCAACATTCTGGTCACCTCTTCAACCCCAATTAGAAATGTTACAAAATAAAACTAACAATGACCTTTAAATTTTTCCTTTAAAGGAAGAAAATTCTAAATTGCAAGACCCTCTAAGTATTTAAGTCTACTATAAAGCAACCTAAAAACTATAAAATAATTGTTTCTGTATTCAATTTATTAAAGATGCTCAGAATAGTAAGCCCTTTCCCGAGTTCTAAGATCTAAAAATAGCTTTACATATTTGGGCTCTTCCAAGAGATAGTACAGCAAGTCTACCTGGTTTAACCTTGCTTATAATATACCATATTGCATTTAAACAGTAAAACCAAATATTAAAAAAGACCTAACAGGGCCGACGACATAGCTCAATAGTACAACACCTGCCTGACAAGGGTAAGGCCTTGAATTCGATTTCCGGTACCAAACTAAACCAAACCAAAAGGACGTAACAGAAAATCCTATCTTTGCAACCTAGCAAAAACCTAGTACCTGTGTCATGAAACTCTTAAGTACTTCTAATGACTTAATGTTCAAAACAAAACACATAAAAACCCAAAATTTGCCAATTTAAATGATGGCACATGCCTATAATTCCAGGCATGGGAATTTCAAGCTTGGGAGGCTGAGACATAATGATTACTATGAGTTTGAGGCCAACCTGTGCTACAAGAGTACATTTAAGGCCAACCTGAACTACACAGTACAACCCTGTCACAAAATAAATAAATTAATTACAATGATCTCAATCTAAAGATACTGAGAGACTTGATCTATCTTAATATAGAATTAGTCTCATGTAAACTGTTTACCATTTTTTTTCTGGCAAAAAGAGTTAAATAATGTACTAAACAGTACAGTATTTCCCATGCCTGCTCAAGGCTTTGGGTTCAAGCCCCAGCACAATAAAAATAAAATAAATTAACAGATTAAATAATGTAAATATTCACATATTTTACAAATTCAAGAAGCCAAAGATTGCAGACAAAATTGTATCACAAGGACCTATCTAAATCAACCCTAAAGCCTACAAAGCAAGAATAACCATTTGTAAAGTCCCTTGGACTTGACAAGAGTAATTGCAAAAGCTACTACAAATTTGAATTTGGCTTTAAGATTTGTTAAAAATATGATTATTCATCTATAAGATGTACTGAGATTTTATATTACTAATGAAAAAATTCACATAAAAGACTTACTGAAATTTTTACCACCAATATTCAATCATATTGAATTACACTGAAAGGTAAGCCTTACTTTTTACACATAACACAGAGTTTCTTTGGAGCAGGCTTATGAGAGAAGGAAGAAAGGCAAGTAGTTGAACAAAAGAGGTGAGCTGATCCTTTCCGCTGGTAAGCTGTTTGCCCCTTTTGTAAAGGTTTTTTGCAGTTTGCACAAGTGACTTTAACAGGTTTAGTAGGTTGCTGTTGGGCAGAAGGCTGGAAAATCTGTTTAGGAAGCGAGGCCACTGGTGATAAAGAATCCACCCCGGGCTGTTTCTGATTACGGGGAAATGATGCTGACTGGGAGATCCAAGAATCTGAAAAACAAAATCCACAAAGGAGTGCAATGAAATAGGGGTTTATACACACTGACTGCTGTATCAGAGAAATCATTTACCTTTCCATTTTTTATAAGTTTAAGACGTTAATGAAGTAGTAACACAGCATACAGAGTTTTAGGTTAAGAATGTCTGGCTCTTATTAACAATGTACTGTATTCATAAAATTTTCTAAAAGTACATTTTAAGTATTCTCACAACAAAACAAACATAAAGCAATGCATTTTACTACCCTACAATGTAAATATATTTTAAATATGTCATACATGGTAAAATGTATCATTTTTACTCCTCAAAAAAAATACAAACTGGGTATAGTGGTGCACATCTGTAACCCCAATACTTGCAAGATTGAGGAAGAAAATGGAGGTCAGCCTAAGCAATACAGAGAGACCCTGTTTCAAAAGACAAAGGAAAAAAGAAAAGAAAAGAAAAAAAAAAGAGGAAAGAAAAGGAAGGAAGAAGGGCTGGGAATCTGGCTCCGTGGTGTAAGTGCCTGCCTGACAAATGTGAGGTTCTGAGTTCAATCGTTGGTACCAAAAAAAAAAAAAAAAACAGGAAAGAAGGAAAGAAAGAAAAAAGGCAGATAGAATGGTTCTTCTAGCTCCCAGTATGTGCAAGACTGGAATGCTGCTTCAACTGCGTGCCTTCCTCTTAATAGGAAACTTTACCAACCTCATGTGAATGGTACGCATTAAATGAGATAAAACATGTAATAAATCACAGTGAATAATAGTATATAAGAAGCACTAAAAATAAATCAGTGAATACTCATGTATTTAGAGAACATTACTTTACGCATGAAACATCAAATAAAAGTGTAATAACATCTTGACAAAACAGAACCTCTAACAAATGTAACTAATGCAGGCATAATGTTTATATATATCATTATTTCCAAATGTTCTTATAAGTGCAGCTTTTCCAAATATTTAGTTCAGTGACCCCTAAATGTAAGATAATCTCATCAAAGTCAAAGCACAGTGTTACACAAAAATGATGGTGTCATACTCACCATATAATGACCACTTTAACCTCCAATTACTCTACTACTGCAAAGACATCACAGCCCAGGAGTATATCTTAACTATCAGCACTGCAGTGCGAAGTTACCCATTTTTTCTCTTTCATGCTAAACTTCTTTAGTACTCAATTAGGTAGGAAGTCTCCAGGTCTTCCTGGAGGAAGGTCCTATTTCACAGACTTACTGTGGCACAATCAATTCCATGACCTATCTTCATTTTGAAATTTCTCAGGCCACTCTTTCTACTTTAAACTACTTTGATCTCTCAAAAATTTTGGCCTTTATACTCTCTTGATTTTTAAATTTCCATATATAAAATTTTCCCTTCCACAGAAAACAGTATAAACGTAACGAGTCGGGGAAAATTCTTTATTGCAAAAACCTCAATAAGGGTAATTTTGTGACTTTGCCCTGTTTCATCAACCTAATATATAGTTTGAAAGGCCTGAATGCACTGTTGGTTAGGTTTTACCTGACTCCATACTATACCTCCAAAAACAAAACCTTATATACTGAAGTAAACAGTGCATTCTGGAACCGTGTTTTCTTGCTATCATTACAGTAAAAGACTAGTATTTACCTAGTAAGTAAAGATAATAAAATAGCAAATCATTCTAAGAACCAGGAAATGATCTCAAAGAAAACAAAATGCATTCAGTCAAAAATTATGCTTAAGCAAATGCTAGAAAAATTAGCCCTCTTCAACACAAATACTGGTCCCTCAAGGTTTTCTGTTTTGTATACATATTTATAGAATACATATTTAAAGGAGTCTATTTAAACTTAGGGGCATCTACTGCCTTAATTCGGGGGAGGAAAAAGGGTATTTTTCTTTTGTCAATTTAGCTTAACCAGTATAAAAAACATAATGGTTTTATCAATTTTCAGCTCTTGCATATTTTCACCACCTCCAACACTGAAAAGTATTTTAGAAATAGAAAGGATCTAATCATTTTGTCCAAATCCTTAATTTCACATAGGTACAGAGATATAGCATAGAGATAAATTTGTCCAAGCCACAAATAGTCTAAGAACCAGTAAAAATAGGCAAGATTTTATTACTCTTAATCTATTTCCTCTATTACAAATAAAAAGTCCATAAATACAAGAATTTATAAACACAAAAACCAAAGTAAATCTGTTTGCTTATATTTTTCTTATGAGTATATTACATTCGCTTAAAGAATTCAACTGAATAGGAACATAATTATTTGTTCACTTAGATCGAGAAAATCCTAAAAAAATCAGTATGCTTAAGAAATATGCACAAATATATACACACACACACACACACACACACACACACACACACACATATTTTTTTTTCTTTCTTTTTTTTTTTTTTTTTAAATCGGTACCAGGGATCGAACTCACGACCGCCTGCTAAAGGCAGGTGCTTATGCCACTGAGCTAAATCCCCAGCCCCATACAAAAATATTTTTAAGAAGAGTATTTAAATAGGAAAAGTTAAAATTGAGCAAGTAGAGAATTAAATTTCACTCACACTGATACAGACAAGAAATTTAAGATCTATTGATAAGGTTTTAAAAGAAAAGTAGGAGGGAAGAAATAGCAAATCTGTACACTATGTTCTCAAATTAGAGTTACTTTACTGAATGTTTTCTTCTCTCATGCTCGTGTTTTTAAAATTTAGCAGAAAAACAAAATAGTTATTTTAAACCTAATTTAAGTGCTATAATTTTAAAAACTTTTATGTAAACTGGAAAGTTACTGAGAAAAGAATTCTAATATAGCTTGGTGGCTACATGGCTTTCGGGAAAACCAATACTGAAATTTCCATAAATTAAAAAATGCTCATATAAACTCACAGCCACACTGACACACACAGAGGCTTAAGGAGAAAAACAAAATGTCAAATTTGAGTGATAATTTCTTCTAAAACTGTATACCAAATAGATGTATCTAAATCAAAAATCATTAGAATATGAGAATTATATTTTTTGTCTCGATAACCTCACCTCTACGAGAAACCTCATATTCTAAGGAAATAAACAGAAACATGAACAGAGGTATTCATCTTTTACCTATAGTAACAAAATGTGGAAACTATGAAAGTCAAATATAGAAACAGGTATTGGGCAACCACTAAAACTTGTATGACAATGATATGAAAAAACATAGTACAACACTAAGTGAACTAAAAAGCAAATACAGGAAACAACCTGCTATATACAGAGCTACCTTTCAGCTAGATTAAAATTTTTTATAAAGAATGCCCACTTTAAAAGGCATTATGGTAACTATTGTTGATTTCATAAGGTTTTGAAGTCCTGTGTCACTTATAATGTTTTATTTGGACTGGTTTTATTCTGTTTTATTTTCCTTGGTTTTATCCTCTTTAAAATAAAAAATAATACCCACTTTGGGGCTGGGGATTTAGCTTAGCAGTATAAACGCTTGTCTGGTAAGTGCAAGGCTGTGAGATCAAACCATGGTACTGAAAACCAAACAGACAAAGAATGTCTACTTTACTGAGCATCATGGCATAACCCTATAATCCCAGCACTTGGAAAAGCTGAGGTAGCAGAACTGCCTGGAGTTCAAGGTCAGCATGGGCAACATAGTGAGTTCAAAGCCAGTCTGAACTACACAGCAAGACCCTATATCAAAAAAATAAACCAACAAAACAAAACAAAAAAACCTTACTTCAGCAGCATGTATACTGAAACTGGAACAATTCAGAGGTTAGCATGGTCCCATCTTTTTTGGTTGGGAAGGGTCTTTTCAGACAGGGTTTCACTATGCAGTTCAGGTTGGCCTTAAACTCACTTTGTAGCCCAGGCTGGCCTTGAACTCACAGTAATCCTCCTGCCTCAGTCTCCCTACTGCTGGGATTACAAGCATGCACCACCGTACCTGGCTGTCTACCAACTGTTAAAAATGAAAAAAATCAATGAAGTACTAATTTAAAAACAAAACTGGATAAGCAATCTAAACACAAGGACTCTGACTTCATAAAAATGCGTGTGTTAAATATGTATGGCCTTTTGCTGGGCATTGTAGAGCACGCCCATAACTAGAACACTTGGGAAGCTGAGGCACAGGAGTTTATAGGCCAGCCCAAGCCACACAGGGAATTCTAAAGCCAGCCTAACCTGCATACTGAGATCCTGTCTCAACACCTCTCCCAACCCCACACTTACAGCCTCTGGCACATCAATCAGTCTTTTAAAGAAAGATTTTTTTTTAAAGGGGTTATGTTAGGGCTTTCTTCAAAATTGAACTCAACTCAAAATTGAACTCAACTCAAAAACATATGAAAAACACATATAGGCAAAGTAGCTATAAATCTACATTGCAACTTCCATATAAATGTTCTTTGAGGGTGTTATTAATCTTTTGATTCTCAATATATTAAACTATTAGCAAAAAAATAGCAAAAAGTAATACACAACAAACAAGATGCCAAATGTAAAGTTTTTTTAACTTTTAAACATAAATCATTTTGTAATTTTCTAATAATCCCCTTGAAAGTTCACAGAATTAACATTTCACATGACAAAATTAAAGGTAACACCAATTGCTACAATGAAAAATGAGATGCAAGTTTAAATACCATCTTCACAAGGCAGAATGTCACTTGTTGCTTACCAGGATTATGATGAGTTGCAGATTCTCCATTTTGAAAAACATCTCCTGCCACACTCATCCTACCAGGATTAAAAGGTCCTACTCCAGTCTTGGTCTGTGAAGTTAAAGATGGGGTGTATGTTTGCATATTAACACCAAAATTACTTGACTGCAGTCCGTTAGAGACATCTCCCAAGTTGGCATTCTGCAGTGATGTTACATGTGTAATCATTAAGTTCATATCTCTCCCGTCAGTATTTTCTAATTGGCCATCATTCACAGAGCTTACACCTGTTTCTAAAGTTGTAACATTAGCAATCTGAATTTCAGAGTCTGGTTCTGTGGTGATACCACTACTACCCATTCCTGCATTTACCTTACTTCTTGAAAAACTGGAAGTAGAGAAATCCACATCATTTGTCCTGTTTTTAGTTTCAGGAGGTCTCCTTTCAACAAAACTGGAGTTTTTTTCTTGCCCTTGATTTGTTTCCACATCCTCTTCATCATCAATGACAATTGTTTCACTTACACTTCCCTTCTGAGAAGCCAGTTCTTTTGAGGATGGAAGAATTTTGGAATCATTTCCTTGCAGTTCTTCACTTTTTGATGTAAATGTTACGATTCTTTGATCCATTACTACTGGTGCAGAAGGTGGGTTAGGTTGTATAGGTTCGATAAAAACAACATCATCATCATCTTCCACTGGTGAGTTTTGAAACTTACTAGATCTAGATGCTAATGGGTTAGGCGGACCACTAAACGAATTGCCTACATTTGTGAGACTAGTTGCCATGGCCGTACTCTCTAATAAAACTGGAGTTTGATCAGTCAGTTCTAATGTTCCCACTGAACTTGTGTCCATGCCAAAGAACCTGTTAGAAAAATAGAAAAGAGTTAAAATATATTGGTATAGGATTTTATGCTACTGTAACTAAAACCACAATGGGTAACCAAGAAGATACATATCCAATTTTCATTAATCCTGTACCACACACGCTCACCACTATCAGTTCCTCTATATGTTATTTATTCTATAAATCTTAAAACCAAAAATATAAATACTTCCAACAGTTACCAAATTAAAAGGTAATAAAATCCCTTCAATTTACATATTCCATTTATCCACTAGATTAAATAAAATAGTATAGTCTAACTCTTCATCTCCCTTGGTTCATCTTGACTTTTAAATCTTTTTTCTTATATTCTCTAGCTCACATGTAACTGCATCATTAAGTCTATTTGAAAAATTTAAACCTTTCTTTACCCTATCCAAAAAGCTCAAGTCCTTTGTAAAGACACTATGCTATGTGCTTTACAATCATGCCTGCAGCAAGCTATATAATGCAATCGAAGACAATTGGTCTCAATCACTATAATTTACATTTTCATCTGTGGAAAAAGGATCTCTGTAGATATGGTTATGGATAAGGACTTTTGAGTGAGACTGTAGGTACCTTTACAAGACATAGGTAAAGGAAGATTTTAAGCCAAAGAGGAACACACAATGCGATTATGAAGGAGGACTGAAGAAACAAACCAAAGAACACTGGCAAGCACCAGAATACAGACAGACAGGATAAGGAAGATTTTTCCCAAGACCCTCCAGAGGATGTGTGCCCTTCTTCCTACCTTGACTTCATCCCAGTGAAACTATTTTCAAACTTCTGGCCCCCAAAAGCTGTGAGAGAATATATTCACGCTTTTTCAGGCCACCAAACTTCAGGTAGTTTGTTGCAAAAGCCATAGGAAGTGCATACAATCCAATTCTTAGATATATCCCCCCCAAAAAACATTAGGCTTTACCTTTTGTCTCATTTAAGAATTATTAAAGAAATTACAGTTTTGAGAAGCTAATTTTCCCAAGCCACACAGGAAGAATGAATACCCCAAGCCTTTAAAACTATACACGTTATTCAACAATTTCTGAGCACCTATAATATGCCAGGCTATGTTATATGACACTAAGAAAAGCAAAATTAATAATATATAGAGCAGGGCCGGAGGTTTAGCTCAGTGGTGTAAGTGCCTGCTTGGCAAACACAAGGTCATGAGTTCGATCCCTGGTACGAAATAAAAGTGGGGGGGGAGGGGGGCTGACCTAAATAATATATAGAACACATATCTAAGCAGATAGAAAACATGAATTTATGGGCACAGATGCTATCATTAATTCTGAAGAGGGATAATGTTGATTTGTATAGGCAAAAATAGTTGGGATCGGAAAAAACCAGAAGGTAAATACTCAAAGAGTATTTGTAAACGTGAAGGATGGGAAATTGAAGTGGTTTATATTCACTAGCCCCATTTTGAAAGACAAGTACCTGACATGAGGAGACATTATGCAGGTCTTAAAATGTAGTGTTAAAAACTTATTATTAAGGGGTCAAGGATTTAGCTCAGTGGCGTATGAGCCTTCCTGGCAAGCGTGAGGTCATGTGTTTGATCCCAGGGACCCAAAAAACAAAACAAAACAAAACAAAAACATCATTAAGGAGCCTCTCAAAGAATATTGGGACTAATTTAATCAATAACTTAGACTAACCAATTACAGGACAAAGAAATTGTTTGCTCTGTCTCCTAAAGCAATGTCTTAACCTTTTAGGCCATATGATTTACCACTTATTTTTCAAGGTAAACTTAAATGTTTTGGTTTTTTTTACACTTTTTTTTTCTTTTTATCAGTACTGGGGATCGAACTCACGACCGCCTGCTTACAAGGCAGGTGCTTATGCCGCTGAGCTAAATCCCCAGCCCCTAAATTTAAATGTTTTAAAAGACAAAGTGGTAACAGACTTACTTCAGTTTGGTGATCATAGCATAACTTTTTAATTTTCTTTTTTTTTTTTTTTAAATCGGTACCAGGAATCAAACTCACGACCACCTGCTTGTAAGGCAGGTGTTTATGCCACTGAGCTAAATCCCCAGCCCTATCATAGAATAACTTTTTGAGCAAAAGACTTCTACACTGTTATCTGGAATACAGTACCAAGAAAGATCCATCTATGAGAAGGTCAGGGAAGTAGTATTCTAAGCAAAGGAAAACAGTTCCTGCAAAAACCTAGAATAAAGTTGGCCAACTTAAGCAAGAAAACTGCTATGAGTCGGATCCTGAATGTCTCGTCTCCCCAAAGGTCTATGTTATGTGTTGAAGGCTTGGTCCCCAATCCCTGCCACTACCATTAGGAGTTAGAAGGAAATTGGGTCACAGGTGGCATGCCCTTAAAAGAGATACTGAGACGATGGCCCCTCCTCTCTATCACTTCCTGGGCACCACACAGAAAGCAGATTCCTCTGCTTCACATTTACCATCCAGATGGACTGTCTCACTACAGGTCTCAAAGCAATGGCCCTGAAGACCATGAACAGAAATTCCCAAAACAGGGGCCCACTCCCACCATACCCCAAAACCTTAGGTTGATTTTATTTCAGGTATTTGTCATACTAACAAAAAGCTAACAGAAGAACAAGCCAATGTAGCTGGGAACAATGGCAGAGAAAAAGAATAAAATAAGGCAGAAAAATAGAACAATTTACCAAAGCCAAGAAGTTGATTCACTTATATTAAACAGATTTACAGAGGGTTTGGTTTATACAATATTGTTTTAGACATACAAGAAAAACTGGCAAAAAAACACACATATCCATCCTTTCCCAGAGTAAGTATGAATTCTAAACTGTCTGGGTTTTACTATTACAGGAAATATTGCTGAGTTTTTTCAGCAAAGGGCTGATACAATTGAATGCTCTAAACAGATCACCCAGGCTATGTGGGAAAGGAATTATAAAAGATCATAAATGAAAGCAAAGATATCTACTAGATAGCCACTACAATGGTCCAACTGAAAGATGACAGTAGCTGAAATAAGAGTAGTGATGGGAGACAGGGGGCAAAGGGGGGAAAAAAATTACAGGATCTTGCTGACACAAGAAAATCTACAAAACATATTGTTGATTTAAAAACAAATTCTACAATTGAGTTCATATTACTGTTATGTATAGCATCAAAACCCAAACATGCATTTCCTCAACTATAGATAAACAGGTATTAACTCTAGTATAATAAAACAGCACTTCAGATAAATTAGTTAATATTGCCCAAGTTCCCAAGAAAACACAGGCTCCAAACTCAGGATCCAGAATTAGACTTCAAACACTAGTCTTTGGCTGGGCACGGTGACACATGCCTGTAATCCTAGCACTTGGGAGTCTGAGGCAAAAGGATCACAGTGAATTTGAGGCCAGCCTGGGCTACAAAACGAGTTCAAGGGCAGTTTGAACTGCATAGTGAAACTGTCTCAAAGAGAAAACAAAACAAAACAAAAGTAGTCTTTGTCTCTTCTAAGCAAGATTGGTATCTCTCTGAGTAAGACACGCTGAATTTGGAGAAATGCAAAAGAAATAATTTTAAGAGATTATTATTTGCTTTACTCATGACTCTGCAAGTGACCACCTATATTTTATCATTAAATAATAATTTAATTTTCAAAAATCAAAACATAAGCACTTTAAAACTTCCTCAAAACCAAGTATAAGTGATTCATGTTTTTACTGCCAGCACTCTGGGAAACTGAGGCGACAGGATCACAAATTCCAGCTCAGCCTAGGCAACAAAAAACCTCAGCAAGATCCTGTCGTGAAATAAAAAATAACATTTATAAAATGACTGGCAATATAGCTCACAGTATGAAGACTTGAAGTTTAATTCCCAGTACTGGAAAATAAATAAACAATTCCTCAGAAAAAGACTTCTTTATAGTGAAACAATAGGGGAAAGATTCAGATAAAGCCTTCAGTTAAGCAAGAAAAAACTTTTAACATTGCCACTCTAAATTAAAATATACTTAATACTTTAATTAAAAATTTTCACAAATCAGTTAATTTTTTAAAACAAAAGTACAGCTATTTTGATTACATTCAATGTTTACCACTTATGAATGGCTAACTATCTGTCAGTTAAGTATAACAGCAAACCCATACAGCAGACTCATATAGCCTCCACACATTAAAAAAAAAAAAATTCTCAAGCTGAGCATAACAGCACATACCTTCAATCCTCCGCACTAGGGAGGCAAAGGCAGGAAGACTGTCACAAATCGTAGGCTACTGGGGGCTCCGTAGTAAATTCAAGGCCAGGTATATCATGCCTCAAAAAAAATTTTTTTTCCACAGTTAAATAAAGCTTCCGAAGACCACAAACCAAGAAGTGCTCAAGATTTTAATATGCATAACTAACATGCAATAGGTAATTAAATACAGAACGATAATATATGCAAGCAATTAAATATTGAAAAATAAGGCAATAATGCAGCTGTTAAGTTTTTAGAAATGAAGCCACTTAGTAACAATAACTAAATCAATATCAAACTACACAAGCTTCAAAAGGAAGAAGCAAGAAGGTCACGAGCCACGCTGAAAGATTTTTAAAATAATGAAATTAAACTAAAAGTTAACATTCATTGTAACAATCATTTTCAGAGAAAAGAGCTAAATCTTAACCTAAATCTACTGATGTTATAAAATATGTAAGCTTTTAATTGTTTTTGTTCCTTTCTAAATTTTAGCATAGATAAAACTGGAAAAGAAAAAATTTCTGGAACAAAAAGCCAATACTGACTTTACAGTACCCTCTGGTGGTTGCAAAGTGTCAATGCAGTTTCCTCACAGAACACAGATCCAATAGGTCTTAGAAAACAACTGCCCACAATGATCTACTTCACAAAACACAAAATTCAGAGTAAAAACATGCGGTCACTTCTTAATATCATTGATTAACATACTTCAGATATGAAACAGTCCTATAAAGAACAATCAACTGGAAAGCCAAGCCCAGTGAGGGATGACCATGGGAAACATCCAATCAAGGAGCCACAGT